GGACTGCAACTACCCTTGACTTGAAAATTGAAACTAAAAGTTGTCCACAGAAACAGGCATTTGTTGATAACTTGTCAACTTGTTATTTTTTGGATAACTTGTCAAACTTAAGTATACACACTGTTAAATACAATTCATCGATGAAAAACAAGTAACGCACGCATGTAAAATCATATAAACTAACGTCGAGATTAAAAGAAAATATGTGAAAAAAATTGAATGCAGAAACTCAAGATTTTTTGTTTTTCCCACTTTGGTCTGCAGATACCAAACACCTCTCTGTTACAAAGCTCTAGTTCCATGTGATCAAACACTCTTTAATCTCCGCACATGAACGTTCAGAAACCGTTAGTGAGCAATAGCTTACTTTTCAAACAAAAAAAAAAGAAAGACTTTTCTTTGCATCATTTATTTCGAATTGCATCATTTTATTTAGCCACCTTAGGGGTTCCCCACATCATAAATCGTGTTGTAACTTGTCAGCGTATGTATACGAAGAGATATCTACAAATTTGTGGATGAGTCTCTATATATTTCCTTTCATTAAATAACTTTGTTCTACATTTTCAAACACTTAATAGAGAGAGAATACGAAGAAAATGTCAATCTTGCTCTGTTTCCTCTGTTTCTTGCCTATTTTCTTAGTTTCCTTATCAGTCCTCTCAAAAAAGCTCAAACCCTCAGAATGTAAGCTTCCTCCGGGACCAAAGAAGCTTCCGATCATCGGAAACTTACACAACCTCAACGGATTGCTTCACGCATGCCTTCGAAATCTCTCCCAAAAGTACGGACCAGTGATGCTTCTCCGTTTCGGGTATGTCCCCGTGGTCGTGATCTCATCGAGAGAAGGTGCAGAAGAAGCTCTCAAGACCCAAGATCTCGAATGTTGCAGCCGACCAGAGACGGTCTCGACCCGAATGATCTCTTACAACTTCAAAGACATCGGTTTCGCGCCTTACGGTGAGGAATGGAAAGCTTTAAGGAAGCTCGTGGTTATGGAACTCTTGAACATGAAAAAGTTTCAGTCTTTTAGGTATATTAGAGAGGAAGAGAATGACTTGTTAGTCATGAAACTGACCGAATCGGCTCTGAGACGATCCCCGGTGAATCTGAAGAAGACGTTATTCACGCTTGTCGCGAGTATCATCTGCAGGCTCGCGTTTGGGATAGATATCCACAAGTGCGAGTTCATCAACGAGGACAGTGTAGAGGATCTTGTTCACAAGTTTGATTTAGTCATGGAGACTATTGCGTTCGCTGATTTCTTCCCTCGTGTCGGGTGGCTTCTCGACCGGATTTCTGGCCAGAACAAGATATTGAACAATGTTTTCGCGGAACTCGATACGTTCTTCCAGAATATTCTCGACGAACATCTTAAGCCTGGAAGAACAGTATCAGAGAGCTCTGATGTCGTCGATGTGATGGTCGATCTGATGAAGAAGCAAGAGAAAGATGGAGACTCTTTCAAGCTCACTACAGATCATTTCAAAGGAATCATCTCGGTAAATCTTCTTCTATACCCTGCAAATGCTAGTTCTTGCAAAACTTGAACTTTACACCTTTGTGTGTTGTATCAGGACTTGTTTCTTGCAGGAGTAAACACAAGCGTCATCACTTTGACATGGGCGATGACAGAGCTGATCCGAAACCCGAGAGTGATGAAGAAAGTGCAAGACGAGATTCGGACAACACTTGGGGACAAGAAAGAGAGAATCACGGAAGATGATACAAACAAGCTTCACTACTTCAAGCTCGTGATCAAGGAGACATTCAGGTTACACCCAGCAGCTCCACTTTTGCTCCCAAGAGAGACAATGTCTCAAGTCAAAATCCATGGCTACGATATCCCCGCAAAAACACAGATTATGATCAATATTTACTCGATTGCACGGGATCCAAAACTATGGACAAACCCAGAAGAGTTTAACCCTGACAGGTTTCTCGACAGTTCCATAGATTACAAGGGACTAAGCTTTGAGCTTTTACCGTTTGGTTCCGGCCGGAGAATCTGTCCAGGGATGAATATGGGAATCGCCACCGTGGAATTAGGACTGTTGAATTTGCTTTACTTCTTCGATTGGGGATTGCCTGAAGGAAAGACTGTGAAAGACATGGACTTGGAAGAAACAGGATCGGTCATTATCAGCAAGAAATCAACTCTTGAACTTGTTCCAGTTCTTCATCACTGAATCATCAAACTGAAGCAAAAATACTCAATAAGAGAAAAATAATGTTTTATATCCTTTTCCTCAGCTTCTTGTGTTTGATTTTTCAAATAATGGTGTTACATTGTGATGATGATCATTTGTTACAACAGTGTAAAGAAACTTGATACGAGTCCTTTCTATTCAGTCAATCAATAATAGTCTCTGTAATAATTCCTCTCGTAATGTTGATTGTTGCTCTGGTAATGTTGATGGTTGCTCTGCTGATCTATTTCAGCTGTAAACTCCGCCGACAAAGTACTCGTCTTCAAACTTCTTCCTTCAGGTTCCTTAAGATACATCTTGTCGTCTAAGTACGTCGTCATATCGGTTATGATCCTTGATTGTAGATTCGACGTGTCCTTTTTCGCTCTCAATTTCGGCAAGAAATGCTCTCTGACAATGTTCACAACTTTCAAGAACTGAGTTTTGTACCTTCGATGAAGACCAAACCCTGCTGTCTACACACACAAACAGATACCACAATTATGATTTAAAGACCCATTTTTTATTCAGAATCGGTAATTGTAATCGAAGCTTTCTCGGTACCTGAAGAAATGCGTTTAAGGCTGTTGCGGTAGCTCTGTTATTGGCTGAGATTTTGTTAAGGAACCGGGCAAACCAAGCCCATCCGTGTTCAATCCCATGTATGTTTCTAACATTGCCACCACGAATGTCAGTCTGTAATTACCATTAGAAGAAGACTCAAATTGCTAAAAATCGGACTAATGGAAATAGCAATGCAAAAGAAATAGTTGGATAAAAAGAGGTAAAAACCTGGACAAGTGCACCGTAGAGTCTCATTATGGAATCTAGGCGTTCATATGCGTCTGAGTCCCAAGCTGACTGAAATTATTACAGAAGAATAATTAAGAAAAACAAAGGTTTCGAACAATTTTGTCAAAGTAATTTTAAAGGAAATTTAGTTACCTGTGAGTTAACAATATGCTTTGGGACAGTGTAAATGCAAGCTTTGTGGAGTTCAGCAAGAAGAATATCCATAGCTTCTGGAAACTGTGTGCATCATAGGTAGATGATATTCAGCAACAGCAAGAAAAGTCTTAGCAGCAGAACCAACACTGTAAAAATATTGAAATCAAAAGTGGACTTTGTACCTGCGAGGTGACATAAACAATGACGTAGCTGCATGCAAAAGGGTCTTGGGCGGAGACCATCTGAAAAAATCAGCAAACACTAATGTCATCAGTCTTAGTTTTCTAATTACAAGAGTCCAGCGGAAGATAATCCAACATATAATGAACATATAAAAGAGTTGTTAGCCAATCTGAGTCAATTTCAACATCCAACAATACAACATGAATAGATGACTGTTTAACTGACCAGAAATACAAGTTACCTTCTTTGCAAAAGTTGCAATACTGATGGACACGGGACAACGGGGGTCCTTGAATATTTTGACAATTTCGTTGCTTTTCGTACTGCAAAAGCCCAAAGCAGATATAATTAAATTTAAAAACAAGGAAGAATTAACAAAACTCCAAAAGGAACGCCTAGGCCAGCTTACACCCAACCCTCTTCAAATCTATCTGAATCTTTCTTACCAACTGCTTAAAATTGACATTTTCACATGTAAAACAAGATCAAGGCTCGCAGATTAAAGTGCTAAAACAGCTAGGCATATAACACTAAAGGAAAAGAAAGGCAACGCTGCTATGGAATGTAACAATTGATCTTAACCTTGTTTGGGGGAAAACTACAGATTACGGGCAGAAACCATGAACCATACCTAACATTATCTTGTGTCCCCCTTATTTGCTTTATCACCCTTGCAATATGCTTTTCAAAGCTGCTAAAGTCCTACAAATAGTAATAAAGTATACACATGACTTGTGAGCAAATGTGGATGATATGACAGATACAAAACGTAAGAAAAGGATAGATACCTGATTTGAACGTGACTTTAGCGATTGGTTCATTGCTTCTAACTCTTCAAGCTTCTTCAACCTGTGTTTCTCCAATGTCAAAGCACTTTCTGCAGCTTGGATTGATTTACCTACCATGATGAATCAAAAATAAACCGAACACCAAATGAGATCACATTTTTCAATACGAGAAAGAAAGAACAACCATGGCAACGTAGAGAGAAAATATGTACTAAATAGAAGATAGCTCACCCCCAGCTTGAGCATTTGTAGTAACTGAACTACCAGCAACTCTCTCTGTCACAGCCTTCTCTTCCGCAAGTTTTTGTTCAGCAGCTTTGCGATCTGCTACTTCCTTTTCAGCTACTTCTTTTGCTGCCTTTCTCTCAACTTCTTTCTTTGCTTCTTCAGCTCTAATTTTTGCCAGCATCTAAAATGGAAGCAAAAGAGAAAGACATTGAGCAAGCTGAGTAGACTAAGGTTAACAAACATAATGTTTGATTGATAAACACATACTTCAGCCTCTGCACGAGCTTTTTCTTGACGTAATTTCTCTTCTTGATGTGCCCTTTCCCTCCTCCTGGCTTCCTCCTGAGCTTCCTCGCTCCTTATTTTTCTTTCTTCTAATTGCGATTTAATTTGATGTTCACGTTGGACTGCAGTCAGATGAGTATCAAGTGCTTCAGCACTAGAAAACAGCAACAAGAAAACCTCATTATTTCCCAAAATTTGGAGACATTAGAAGGAAAAACAACCACATCGTATGAATTAAATTGATAAGTGAATGTATTCCTGAAACTAGAATGCCAGAAACAATAGCTTACACTTTCCGCTGATACTGAAGATCAAGTTTCCGTTCAACTTCTTTTCTAGTTTCACTGTACTTTTGAACCCGAGCTATCGCAGAGCGAGATGTCTCAATCTCATTCATTATTTCCGTTTCAACAACTGATACTTGATTCCTAATATCTTCCTGTTATAACGAGATCCAAATTCTCAATCAGTTAAACATACAATCCAAATAAAACTCTCAACGCTATGATCCTATTCATCAATAGCAACACAATTCCACCCACCTTAACTTCGTTTTGGTGATCGTTGGTCACCTCATAAAGGATACATTCAGTCAGACCCATCTTACTCATCAAAGAGGACTCAGGTTCACAGTCAAATTTATCATCAGATTCATCACTGTATGAACAAGAAATCATCAATAAAAAAAAAACCATCAAACAACATCCAATTAATTCTTTCACAGTTTCGAAACAAGCTAGAAATGGAGAGTTGGTGGTAATCACCTCAAGTATAGCTCATCACAGGCAAAACGTTTCCCTGTTGTATAAATTTGACTATAA